CCCCCCCCCCGCTCTAACCCCCAGCTCTCAGCCCCCTCCCCCCCCGCTCTAACCCCCCGGAGCCCCTCGGCCGGCCCGTCGTACCGTAGACCCGCAGCATGGCGGAGGCCCGGCAGTCCCCTGCGTCGCACGTGTACTCCCCTGCGTCGTCCAGGCTGCAGTGGCTGAGCTGCAGCAGGCGCCGCCGGCCCACTGAGTAGATGCGGCACTTGGGCCCCGCTTGCAGCGCCGTCCCGTCCTGCCAGGGAACAGAGAGGAACGCAGTCCCTGGGCTGCCCGCGGGCTGAGGCACCCGGCAGGCAGCCTGGGAGGGACGGGGCAGGACGAGGGGCTCGGGGCTGACACCGCGTGCCAGGTGGGGAGCCCATGGCTGGGGCACCCCCCTGCAGCTCATCCCCCCCATGGGTCACTCTCCCTCTGAGCTTGAAGCTGGTCCTGGCCCAAGGCAGTACGCCTGCCTGCAGCCCAGAGGGGCCCCGGGCCGGGAGAGGCCAGGCCCCAGGGCCCAGACGGTTTCACACAGCCGCCCTCACCTTGTACCACTTCACCTCCGCAATGGGGCGGGACAGCTCGCACTCGAAGCTGGCAGCCCCAGTCTCAGGGACACCCACGTCCCGGGGGGCCTTCACCATGGCAACTGGCGGCTCTGAGAGGAGAGGAGACACAGGCCCGAGAGTTAACCAGAGGCAAGGAGCTCCACTCAGGAGTGGGACCAGAGGGGCACAGGACGCTCAGAGCACTGGCTTCCCCAGTGGGACAATGCTGTGGAGAAGCTCACAGCGCTGGCTTCCCCAGTGGGACAATGCTGTGAAGAAGCTCACAGCGGGGAGGTCACGGCTGGGCACTGCTGTGGAGAAGCTCACAGTGCTGGCTTCCCCAGTGGGGCACTGCTGTGAAGAAGCTCACAGCGCTGGCTTCCCCAGTGGGGGACTGCTGTGAAGAAGCTCACAGCGCTGGCTTCCCCAGTGGGGCACTGCTGAGGAGAAGCTCACAGCGGAGAGATCACGGCTGGGCACTGCTGTGGAGAAGCTCACAGCGGGGAGGTCACGGCTGGGCACTGCTGTGGAGAAGCTCACAGCGGGGAGGTCACGGCTGGGCCCTGCTTCGCTGCAAGCGCTGGCCCGTGCCTGTGATTTGCTCTTGGGGCAGGGGCTGCAGACCCCAGCGCTCAGGCTGCAGCAGCAGCAGTGTCTGCGATGTCGGGCTGAGGCTCTGCCGAGCGTCAGGACGGGGTGAGCAGGTGGCGCCAGAGAGTGGTTCCCTGGCAGGCCCCACATGGTGTGACACGTGGCCCGACCCACAGCCAAGCCCCCACCTCTGACGGTCAGGCGGGCGCTGGAACGCAGGGTGTCGGAGGTGAAGGTGACGGTGCCCGAATCCTCCAGCGTGAGCCCCAGCAGCGTCAGGCTGTGCACGCAGCCCGTGGCGCTGACCCGGCAGGTCCGGCTGGGCTTCACCCGGATGCCGTCCCGCGTCCACACCCCGGGCACGTCAGCATGGGACAGCTCCAGCTGGAACGTGGCCGTCTCCTTCTCAAAGGTCTCCACGTCCGACAGTGGCTTCCGCACAGACACCTTTCGGGCTGCAGGGGAGAGAGAGCGGTGCCAGGGGGCGGGGATGGGTCTGCTCCCGGACTGGCGCCAGGGGGGCAGGGATGGGTCTGTACCTGGACCGGCGCCGTGGGGATAGGGATGGGTCTGCTCCCGGACAGGCGCCGGGGTGCGGGGATGGGTCTGAACCCGGGCCAGGGGGCGAGGATGGGTCTACACCAAGGGGATGGGCCAGCCATGGGACCCCACAGCCCCTCCCAGGGATGACCCCCAGCCAGCTGCAGCTGCCAGAGAACTTCCCTGAGATTCAGCCTCAGTCGCTTGGCCCCCATTTTAATCCCCTGTCCACCTCAGGCCACCCCATAGCCTCCCCCCCACACTCCCCTCTCCAGGCCACCCCACACACACCATTACCTCCCCTCCGCACCCCCACACCCCCCCTCCCTGCAGCCTCTCCCGTCCTTGGCATGGCCTGGCCAGGCCCTGCTGGAGCGAAGCTGCCCCAGAGCCCGGGGCAGGGACACCTACGCGCCACGCTCAGCTTGGCCTGCGTCCGGTCGTGGAGGCTCTCGCAGCGGTAGGTGCCGCGGTCCGAGGGGCTGAGGCTGCGAATGGTCAGGCCCCGTCTGTGCCCGGCCTCCTGAAACTGGTACTTGCTGCCCGGCTGGATGAGCACCCCCTGCTTCAGCCACTGCACCTCGCCCGCCTCGCGGCTCAGCTCCACCTCCAGCAGCACGTCCTGCAGCGCCTCGGCCACCACGTCCTGCAGCTTCCGCACAAACAGCACCTGGGCCTCTGCAAGGCACCGCAGGGCAGGGCTTCCACTGGGCCCGACGGGGAGCCCTGGGAGCCCCCACACCCAGACCCTCTGGGGAGCCACCCCCTGGGGAACTACCCCCACCACCACCACCCAGACCTTGTGAGAGACCCCCTGGGGAACTACCCCCCAGGAACTACACCCCCCACCGCCACCCAGACCCTGTGAGAAACCCCCTGGGGAACCACCTCCAGGAACTACACCCCCCACCGCCACCCAGACCCTGTGAGAGACCCCCTGGGGAACCACCCCCAGGAACTACACCCCACCACCACCGCCGCCCACACCCTGTGAGAGACCCCCTGGGGAACCACCCCCAGGAACTACACCCC